ATATATATATCTTTTCTCATTTCTCTTCTTTTATCCAGAGTTTAGGTCTTCCATATCAGAAATATAAAAGATCCCCTGTTGTGACCATGAATAGCTTTTAATTGAAAGATGCATGTACTCAACAATGTGTTTTTCCGCATTAGAAAGCCCCTCTCATTCTCTGTGTGATTTTTTTTTTTTTTCCCCTCCAGATATCAGGGGTCTGACCAGTGCCTCACAGCTGGAACAGTTGAACAAGCGATATTGGTACATTTGCCAGGATTTCACTGAATATAAATACACACATCAGCCCAACCGCTTTCCTGATCTCATGATGTGCTTACCTGAGATTCGATACATTGCAGGTAACACTCTGTCCTGGGTTTCCATCCCTTACTTGCTTCTCCTAGCTAGTGAAACAGTGTTTTAAGGAGGCTGATTCCCATCACCACCTGCATAGAAACTGCTGCCCTTGCCCTCAGAGAAGCTCTGTTATAACAGAAAGTGTGTGTTTTCTGTGTAGAGAAATACACAGGTCCTAAACTATGGTGTGCAGGATACTTTGTGGCCTTATTTAATCTTGGCACAATCTCTGTAAGACTGCTGGTTGGTGATACTAAATTTTGTAGGTGGGAGACAGGCTAAAGAATCCCAAATTAACTTCTCATGAAATATGTACTTTGGTGTGTGTCTGTGGTACTGAAGATGAAACCCAGGGCCTCACCTTGCTAGGCAAGTGCTCCACCCCTGAGCTACATCCCTGGTCCATGAATTATATACTTTAAAACAATGAACTTGATATGTGAATTATATCTCAATTTAATAAGAAAAAAACTTCATAGGATTGGACTTTCAGGAATCATGGAAAGTGTTATCTTTAAAATCCTGTGTTCGCAAAGGAATTTTTTGTGTTGGGTGTGTCTTTGTGTGTGGTCTTGACCCCTTCTCAGCTTCTTGACATTTAATAGGTTCATTTTACTGAGTAATGTTAGCTTTTTGCTGGTTTTTTTACTTCAACAATCTTTAGTAAAGATTTTTATTTCTAGCCATCCCGTGTATACTGAGGGGCAGCTCAGCAGTGTGACCTCTAGACTAGGATTGTTCCTGCAAAATTCAGCAATATAATTATCTAATGAAAAACTTGGATTTTGACAGGGGAATTTTTTTGCCTCCCCTTGGGCCACAGTGCAGTCTAGCAGATGTAAACTGGTCCTGACAGCACTTAGAATCATCTGGGAACTTCAAAAAAAAATACTAGTGTTCAATTTGCACCTTCACATACTCTGATTTAATTGGTCTGAGGAGGAGCCTGGAAATTAGTATTTTTTAAATGTCCCTTAGGTGATTCTAAGTTACTACCAGGGAAAAAGCAGCTCAGCTTAGCCATTTACAAAGTACATGAGTACACTAAATGATCGGAGAAGTCCTTCAATAAAGAAACCTATGCATGTCTCACTAGTGTAGGACCTAAAAGAGTGAATAAAAACTAGGAGGTATGATAGATATTGTGAAACGAAAGGAAAATACTCAAAAGTAAAGGGCAACTGGGGTGAGGGAAAGGAGAAGCAAAAGAAGGGAAAATTATGTAAGTATGTATGTACAGGATAGCTAACATAGTTGTACCACTGTCTTCTATTGCTCTACAGAAAGGAACATTAATGATTACTTGTTTTTTTCTTTTTTGGTTTTTTTTCTCCGGTACCGGGAACCGAACTCACGACCTTGCGCTTGCCAGGCAGGCGCTTTTGCCGCTGAGCTAAATCCCCAGCCCTAATGATTACTTGTTTGATCAATCTTGTATGTCTCTATTTGTTTTCCTGAGAACCCACTTTGAAGATACCAATAAGTAACACAACAACCGTGGTTAATTTCCTACAACTTTGTCTGTAACTCTGTTTTGTTTGTATTGTTCTTACGCTATTTTGTAAATGGGTGTCTGTCTGTTAATGTTTTCCTTCTTTTATTTTTTTATTTTTATTTTTTGTTTTGTTTTGTTTTTTTTTTCCGGTACCAGGAATCAAGCTCACAACCTTGTGCTTGCCAGGCAGGCGCTGTGCCACTGAGCTAAATCCCCAGCCCCCTTCTTTTATTTTTTAAAATAAAAAAGAAACCTATGCCACTACATTAACCCTGAATTTCACAAATTTCTTTGCCCTGTGACCTCCTCACCCCCAACTTTTATTAACCTGTGATACACTTTTGAAGGAGTGTCTTTTGTTTGTTTGTTTTCTGTAAGCCAGAATCGAACTCATGACCTCATGCTTGCCGGGCAGGCGCTGTACCACTGAGCTAAATCCCCAGCCCTGAAGAAGTGTTTTTAATACTAGAAAGTCTACTAGGGAAAAAAAGACAGCATAAAATTCTGGTATTTTAGCTCTGAGAGGGCTAGGTAGGACTACTTTTCAGTTTCAGATTCCTCAGCTACAAAATGACGATAAAAAAGTAACATCTATCACATGGAAAACTATGAGGCTGAAAGAGATGATGCATTTACCTGCCTAGCACAGCCATGGGTAGTGAAATGATATGAGTCTCCCGAGGACTCCAGAATGAGTGGGTAGTAGACGCCAGCCCTGTCTGACCTTTATAGTCCTTCTGCCACTTTCTGCCCCGGCGACATCACCTTTCATTAGCACAAGAGAAGGCAGGTTCCCCCTTCTGCTAGTGGCCACTGCTAACTCCTCTTCTCCCTTTTCTCAGGAAAGATGGTGAATGTCCCTCTGGAGCAGCTGCCTCTCCTCTTTAAGGTGGTGCTGCATTCATGCAAGACAAGTGTGGTCAAGGAGTGACCTGTTCCCTGCGCCCCCTCAGGCGACTGCAGAGCCTTGGGTAGGCAGGACGGGTTCAGGAAGAGAGCCAGAGACCAAGATGGAGGCATGGTGCAGTTGCCTCCATAACAAGAAGAGTTTTTGTTTGTTTGTCTGTTTTTTTAACCTCATTTTTCTATATATTTATTTCACGACAGAGTTGAATGTATGGCCTTCAACATGATGCACATGCTTTTGTGTGAATGCAGCAGATGCATTTCCTTGCAGTTTACAAAATGTGAAGATGTCTAATGTTACAGTGTTGTCATTGTTTAGAGATAGTTCTTTTGTATTTTGAGGGAGAGGGTGGGATGGGCTGAGATACTGTTTCCGTGTTAACAAAGATGACTACCTCAATGGAAGGGGGGTGTAACCATCCCTACTGTTTCCACTTTTTCTCAGCAGACTTATGTGTTTGTCTGTCAGAGAGCAAACTGCCTTTTTCTAGCCGTATACTTGTCAAGTAAGAGTACACCAAAGGGGTGAAGTGGTGGCAGGGATTCACTAAGCCAGATGTGCAAGACATGTGGAACAGGAGATGAGGGTTGAGCCATCTCAATGGAAAGTGCGAGAGTTCAGATCAGGGCATAGTGACCAGATGTAAAGCAGCACAGCAGGTCAGTCCTAAGGGCAAACAGGCTTCTGTTCGCACATCCTGCTGCCCTCCTCTCCCTGCACCACCCCCATCCATTTCTGCCACTGTCAACTGTCCATCCAGCGAAGATGTGGCAGTAAGTCAATCCCTAGGACTTGTGTACCAGCTCCCTCAGGGCTCGCAGCTACCTAGTTTCCTACTTGATCTTCTAAGCCCTGCCCTTCTCAGACTTCCTTCTCTCTCCCTTATAAGTTTGACTTCCTTGCAGCCCTTTGAAAAACTAAGCAAAATGCCATGTTCTGAATCCTGATGCCCATTACTGATTTATTCTTCTCTTGCTTCTTTGCTTCAAAGGGGTAGTAAGACGAAGGCTAAGTTGCTGAAAGAATAACTATTCCTCCTTTAGAATCCCCTGCCCCCACCACCACCCACAGGACTCAATTGAAACCTGGTCTTTTTTTTTAAATAGTGGAAAGGACCATTCACCCTTCTGGCCAGAAACTTTGCTCCTAAATCCTACTCCAGGTTTTCCTAATCTCTCCATAATGAGACCAGGTTTTCCGAGGGCTCCAGAACGGAAAGCCAGGGTAGCCCAGCTACTCTTTTGTGAATCAGTGCCTGGCCAACCAAGGCCTGGAGGGCAGGGGCCAAAAGCACCTGGAAGGGAAGGGGGACTTTAAACTACCTCATGTTTCTAATGGCCTGTCTGCTACCTCTGCAGGTGTGGCCTGCACCCCTTGTCTTTCACTACCTGCCCCACTTCGTCCCGGGAAGTGTTCCTGCCCCTCTGGACTTTGGCAAGGGCCACACCATGTCTGTCTTGGAGCTCTTTCAGGTGCTCATCCCTTCTCTGCCTTAATGTGGCATTTGTTCCTGCCCACACTCGGGCACCTCCCGCAGCCAGTGCTCCAGCCAGACCATGCAGCAAATGCAGCCTTGGGAGGGCGTGAGGGGCCCACAGCACTTCCTCTGTCAGTTTGGCCAAAGACTGTTTGCTCTCCTGACTCAGCCAGTATACCTACCCAGGTGACCACCAGTGTGCACAAATTGGGTAGTCTGCTTCTGTTTATAATTTTTTTTTTTTTTTTTTGGTGAAATGTTACGGGTACCAACTAGCAAAGGAGTGAGGTTTGTCCTTTGCTGGATCTAAAACTCAGAGCATTACTCCTCAATGCCATTTCCCCAACTGTTCTAAGAGGAGACATGTTCCTTAGAAAAGCTCCAGCTAGCACATTTTTCATATGGCATTGGGAAGATTTATGTGTTCATGTGTGTCTATTAATTTGTAACTTCACAGTATTTTTCTTGTTTTCCTGAATTTTTTATTTAACCAGCTAGATCATATTCTTTGGCTACAGGTCAGATTCCAAGCTGCTTTCCTCAAATAGGGGAAGAGACACATATTAGAGACTCCTCCTCTGAGACGGCTCCTGTGTGCAGCATCTTTTCTTGCTTAGTCCGCCATCTATCAAATCATTATTTTTTGAAATTCCTTTTCAAATTAAGCATTTTATCTGTTGTGTTGGGTGTCAAAGGAAATTGCTCTCTGATCAGGCAAGAACGTCTCTCCGATCATGTAGTATTAAACAGAGCAAGTTGTTAATTTGTGGAGTGGGGAAAGGTTCTGCAAGTTGCCATTGTACAAATCCATTTTTACAAATGTTTGCAGCAGATTCCACAGAACAAAGAGCCCATTCATTGCCGAGAGCCCTGCAGAATCTCTGAGCCAAGTGGCTGTGTGTTCCGAGCTGGAGCCTGACCTGTGGACCGTCTTTAATGTCTTCTGCACCCAGTCCTTTTATGACGTGGGCTTCTTTTAAACAGGGTAAAGTGAATGTGTTGCATTGCAAACTCAGGTATTATGAGGAGAAGGTAGGAGTGTAGCTAGCAGCGTGGAGACATTAGGTCAGCCACTAGATGTATTTGTGAATTTGGTTTGAAGGACACAGAGAAAGGTTGGAGGGGGAGGTTTGGCTTGTTTGTTTTTTGCCATAATGTTTGGTTAACAGGCAGCCTTTTTGCTAGTGGAAGAAGAAAAAAGTTGTACGTGTTGTCTCAAATTCCTCTGTCCTCTCTCTGATCCTAGACACCAAACGCACTCACTTTGAGTGAGTTCCCCACCGTAATGATACGACCCTGAAAGTAGTGTGGAAAAGGAGAACCCCACCTCCTTGCACAACATTGAAACATGTAAGCTTTTCCCTTCCTTTTGAACACTTTCTTAACCCAAGACAATAGTGTAGATTCCTGGAGCTTCATCTCTAATTACTCTTTGGTTCCCTTTGTGGACTGTGGAGTCCTTTGTAAGGTGTGATGCGCTTTCCCTTTATCTGGAGAAGTTCCCCAGAACCTATCTAAGCACTCCACCTAGCTCAGAGGACATCCAGCCCCTGTGCCCAGCCTGTGAGAGAGGTGGGCCAGCCTCCAGGGATAGAAAGGAGCAGGCAGGAAGTTTCCTGTCTGGATCCCAGAATCAGAGCACGCATAGGGGGAAGCCTAGGGATCTTTATGGTGACACTGAAAGCCACCCTACCTTACATCAGCCTGCCTCTGCCCTGCCCCATTTCTCAGGGAAGCGAGTATCTGATAGGGCCAGTGTCACCAGATCTTTAAAACCCTGGCTCCTCTGCAAGCTGCCCTGCTTTGCTACCCATTCCCTACATTTGCTTCTTCTTGGCTTCCTGGGGAATGGGACAGATGGAACAGACAAATCAGTGTGGGCAACATGTAAGCCATGACCAAGGTTGGCCAGAGTAGAGACCCTGGTTTTCCAGCAGGGTAAGAAGTTGAGCAGTGGTTCCAGATTCATACCTGTGGACGCCTGGTCTGTGTGCTTTTCCTTGTTGCTTTTAAAATTTTTGCTTTTAAGAGATTTCAGCCTTCAGGCTAGTCCTTTTTATTGAACTTCAAGTTTTTTTTTATTGATTTTTTTTTAAAGGTTAAAACAACAACAAAAGCCCTAAACAAAAGCCCCACTACTCTTTCTCCCCCCCCTTGACCTATGAGAGCCTGCTCCCCAACCCCACACTCCCCTTTGCTTCTGCAGTTGACCATCCTTCCTTTTTCCCCCGGCTAGAAGCATCTCTGTCCAGTGTCTATGAAATGATGCTTCACCTGTGTCTCAGGATGAGAAATGGCAATCATCCCAACCAGGTGCTGGAAACGGGCTAGCCTTGAGGCAAGGGTTTCTAGGGCCATAGCTCAGGGATGTGTATTTAACTACAGGGTCCCAGAAACGCCTCTCTTGGCTGCCATAAGCAACATCTCCTTTCTGGGCTTGGGAGACAGACCCAGATTGTTTCCTTCAGAGGCAGGAGTCCCAGAGGCTATGGCTTCCTCTTTGGCCTTCCTGGGCCACCTTGAGACTTGAAGACTTCTGACTGTCCTGCAACACAAGCCTTGGCGGCCCCGCCTCTAGCAGCTTGTAAGAAGCCTGGCCCCTCTGCCCAGTCCGTTCTCCATCTGACCTTCTCCTTCTGGGCCTACCACCCTAAGTGGGCCATGGCTTGCTCATGAATTAGCTATAGGCTCAGAAGGAAGCTAGGAGGAAGGCAGAGCCTGCTCCAAGCCCAAAAAAACGCTGTGATCCTGCTGGGGGCTAGCCTTCCAAATCCTGGAGCCAGCCCTGTCGGCCAAAGGATCCTCTTTGCCCTTTGGTGACTGTTGTTTTCTTTGCTGAAATGTCTTATTATAGGTGATAATGTTGTTGACTCAAATTTCCATGAAAAAAAAAAAAAAAAAAAAACTACCTCTCGAATGACATCCTGGTCGATTCCTCTCAGAGGAATCCTGTGGGAAAAGAATACTGTAGCTCCTGCACTGTTTACATGTTTCTGTCGGGAAAGAAACCCTGCCTGCCCTGGGGTGTTGGTGTTTTTGTCTGTGTTGCCATCCCAGGCCTGTGATAGGGGCTTGTGGCTGCATTGTAATGTCTGGCTGTGTCTGGGGAGTCCTTCCCACCTGCCCAGCAAGGGACAAGCCGCCCCCTTGAAGAGGCCTCCATCTCCCTCCTCAGTTCCAGGCATGGGGGGCACCACCTCCCACAGCACCACCCTCAGGGGTTCTGATGGCACCTGCGTCGTGAGCCTACCCCAGGCTACGTACCCGGGTCCACCTCCACCCACGGTCCTGGGAGGAATCGGGTGAACAGGATGTCTCTGAGCCCTTGTTCCCAAAGGGCCGGCCAAGGGCTGCCTGCCAGCCTGGCTCCATCTACCCTGCATGACCAAATGGTAGTTGGCGGGCTCTGCGGGCTACTCAGGCCTTCTGCTACCTCCCCCACCTGCCTGCCGGCAAGGGATGGGCCCCGTTTTGTGAATTGACTACCTGTGGAAATGTGACCAATTAGTGTGAAATGCATGTTTAGCAAGTATTAGGTACTGTATTTGAACCAATAAATGTGAATCCTGCACATGCATCTGGCTCTGAATCTTGTCTGGAGCTTTGGATCGGGAAGTGGGATGTCCTGAGGTGCCCCTGCTCAGGCTGTTGCTTGTCTCAATTTCTATGGCTGAGGTCCTGGCAGAAGATAGGGATCAGCACCGACTGTAGGGCCTGCTTGGTGGGCCATGCACATAGTGTTGGGGCTTTTCGCCAGCCTGAACCTTCCTCAACTTCAAGAATGATGATTTCTCTTTTATAAATGAAAAAACTAAGGTTGCAAAATATAAAGAGACTCCTCCAAGGCCACCCAGCCACAAGTGGTACAACTGAGAAACTGAGTCTGTTGGGGGAGGCACACAGACCTTCCTATGCCTGGGGAAGCGGGCCTGGTGCGAGGTAGGAAAGGCCTGTGGAGGGAGTGGCTTGTACTGGGCAGTGCCTAAGGAAGCTTCCCAGGGGAGCGGGTTGACAGTACCCTGGAAGCAGGTCCCCAGGCCAAGAAGAGGACAGACCAGGTAGCAGGACCAAAAGCATGTTCAGAGGCCTAGCGATGAATGAGAAAGGTAAGGAGTATCTGGGTACCTGAGACTGTCCTGGCCGGGTAGTGAGGATGGGAGGAGTAGGAAGAGCTGAGGCTGGAGAGTGGCTGGGAGCTTTGGGAGAGAAAGCATCAGCGGTGACTCACGAGAGCTGCACCTCCCTGGCCTTGGTGTGCTCAACACGGCCTGCCTCTTGTGGTCTGTGGTCTCACAGATTAATACCTGCATTCCAGAGGGCACATGACAGCCTTATGCTGACGCCAGATCAGCCTAATTTAAAAGGCAAGTGTCCTGCGACTGCTCGCACACTCACGAGTGGCAATTGGGTTGAGGGCTGGATGAAGACCAGTGGGAGACAGTGGCTCTGCAGTCTGGGAAGACAAAGGCTGAGGAGAGTGTGACCATGAAATGGGGGCTGCCCAGCTGCCTTGCCATGCCTCCGCCCCCAGCCCACGGCACCAGAGAGCCCTTGAGGCTTGGAAGAGGTGGTTTCGAACAAACTGCTATAGAGGGAGCGATGGTCTTCACCGCCCCACAGGAGGGACCAGACGGGCGAGGAGGAGGAACACCGGCCACCGCCTGCTGCTCCTTGGCAGTGTCCGCTGTGGTCCTCAAAACAACCTCACAAGGTTTAGGCCTTAGCCCCAGCTCACAGTGAAGCACTTGGGCTTGGGGGAAATGAAGCCATTTGCCAGGATGCATGGACAAGAAGCAGAGTTAGCTGTTGAATCCAGGTCTGTCTGATCCCAAAGTTACAACAGCTTCCTCCCTGCTCAGCCTTATGGTTCACTAGTGCTGAACAGGTATGTCTTGAGTTGGAACAAAGCTCCAGTAGCCTTAGCTTGAACCTTGTGTATTCAAACAAGACCCCATGAGACTAATGAAGAGTTCATTCTGTATGAAGCAGAGGAGCAGACCCAGCTGAGGTGAACTGAGCAGTACCCTCCCAGACACACAGAATGCGACACCTCATCTTTAATTTTGGGAATCTAGCATCCAGTGTCCCTTTATCAAAAAAAAAAAAAAAAAGTCCAGCCGCCAAAAATGTAGGAAATGTTGCACTCCATTGTCTTCCCACTGATCCCAACCTTCCCAAAGTCCTACCTGGAGAAAACGCATTTTGTTTAGCCCAGGTTCTACCAAAAGCATGTGAGCATGGGACATTTTTTCATGATGTTAAAATTCTATTGAGATGATGCTGCATGGCATAAAATTTAGGACACTGCTGCACATTTATAAATTGCTACTTAAGTAACGCTGAGCTCTTGGCTTCTTGGAGTGCTAGGCAATGATCCAGAAATAAAGAACTATAAAATCGGGTTGCGGGTGCAGCTCAGTGAGTGCTTAGCATACACAAGGCACTGTGGTCATTTTTTGTGGGTTAAATTACTGATTCCCCAGAGCCACAGGATAAATAATGGTGCTATCATGATCCCATTGTACAGATTAAAAAATCAAGGGCCAGAGAGAAAATAATTTGCCTAGGATTATGTGACTAATGAGAGCTCAGAAGCTGGTAAAAATGAGCGCTCAGTGCCAATTCCTAGCACTCCTAGCAGTGCTAAGAGCCTCCTTAGGCTAAACCAGAGCGAAGTCAAGTGATCCCTTCATCACTAAAGGGTCTGCAGCCAGCGTGATGGCAGGGAGGGTGCTTGGGTCTTCCACGGAGTCTTCCCGGGCATTATTTTCCCAGGCAGCCTGTGAGACCAAGCATGTCGCCCAGCGTCTCACGCTGATTCCAGCTTTCGCCTTCCCACTTGGTTCGAATCCTCTGATCCTCACTTCCCCTGTCCACGGGTAGAGATGATGGTGCCCGTGTGCAGGAGCTGCTGGAAGACTGTGGCTGGCTTGAAGTTGGGGCTCTGAAGCTGTGTGCTGGGAGCAGCTGCCCCTGCACCTCAACAACAGAAGCTCAGCAGATAGGAACCACCTCTCAGGCTCGGCCTGGCCTTGGCCTGGCTGCCCGTCAGGGTTTCATGTCCACAGTGGCAGGCAGCCTCTCCAAGCCTGTGGCAAAAGTGCCCAACTGCCAGACCCAGGGCTCTTGGAGTCTTGTTCCCTTGGCAACAAGTCTCACCATGGAGACCACAGCCCCATCCTTGCCCTTCTCGCAAGCTCCCTCTCCACAAACCTCTGTTCACAGCCCGGTCCTAGGAGCAGTTGCAGGCCCTGGGGCGCGTTAAGGAAGCACTTCCACAGGGTGAGGAGTTCAAGGCACATCCCAGGAGCAGCGAGGGGAACTCGGTGTTCTGAGTGTCCACTTTCTGCCTACCAAGATTCTAAGGTGGCTGCTTCGCTGTTTCATTTTGCGGGTTAGCCAGGCACTCACCCTGTTTTCCGAGTGAAAAACTGAGGCTTGAAGGCAGCAAGGAGCACACCAAAGTCTCACAGCTGGTCAGTGTTGGAGCCCAGTCAGGGGCTCAGGACTTCTCACTCTGCATCTGCCCGCTGCCCACATGTGGCCAAGACAGCCTGCAGCCACCGTGTGGGGAAGGCTGGACAGCTGGGCGGGCCCCTCTACCCCAGGCCTCTGCTCCCAGCACCAGTGGCAGCCTGTGTCCCTTTGTGGCCCGGGCCGGGCCCAGCAGCAGTGGAGGAACTGCACTATTTTAAGCCAGGGCCGGAGAGCCCCATGTGGGCACAGGGAGGGTGGCCTCGGGCCCTTGGCCAGCTTCCCGGAAGTCACCATGGCCTCCCTCCTCTCCCCCGAGCAGCTCTCTGAGGCAGGCACTTCCCTACAAACAGGAAGGAGGCCCTCAGGCCAAGACCTCCAGCCCCAGCTTCCTCCCCCTGCTCCCAGTCTTCTCTAGTCCACAGGGGAGCCCCCAGCTCCAGGCTCCGATCTATGTCCTTATCCAGGCCGACTCCTGGCAGGTGGGTGAAAGGGGGCATAAACTTTTTGCTGCTGCCCCAAACCTTCCGTGGCAGTCCCGCACTTCCCCAGGCCCTTCGTCTCCACTGTGGCCTCAGTTGTGCCCTAGGAAGCTGGTCACTGTGAGCCAGAAAAAAGAGCAGAGATTCCCCCAGATTTGGTCCCATTCAAGGACCCCAGAGGGAGAGCAAAGAAACTGAAAGTAGCAGAGAGAATTCAAGTGGGACAATGCAAAGGGTAGATACAGGAGTGAACAGTGACAGATCCACCGTGACCCAAGCAAAATGAGATGCCCAGAGATAACAGCAGGGAGCTCCAGCCATGGCTGCAGAGGGAGGGGCCGAAGAAGCAGCGAGAGGACGCTCAGCGGTGGCTCCTGACCACCCCCTAAACTCAGGCGCAGACGCAGGGCTGTGGGGGGCCCCGCGGCTGTATGGCTGAAGAGGAATGTGGGGAGCAAGGCTGGGTCACCCCTTGAGGGCCAAGCGTGTGCACTGTGAGATAAGCTACCCAGGAAGAGCTTCCAGCTGCGCCGCCCGCTCGAGCATGGGGAGGCCTGGGCCCAAGGCTGGAGCCCCCCTAGCTGCCAGCTGGGGGCCTGGGGGCCTCCATCAGGCCTCCTCTGGAAGGGCCCCGGCCCCCCGTCCTGCCTCTGAGTCTCTTGCCTGGCTCCTCCAATTCTGGCTGCAGTCTCAGCTCTCGGGAGAGGACTTGGGGCGGGGAAGGGGCACCCGCAGGCCGGAGGGTGCAGAGAGGCGCTGTGCCAAGCCGCCCGGCAGGGCACCGTACACTCCTGTGTACGTGTGTCCACGTGCGTCCTCGGATGTGGGGGCGTGCAGAGACGTACATGTCCACATGTTGCCAGGAGCCCCATTCCTCCTCCGCAAGTGTCCCTGCTCTCAGTCTAGAGAAGTGGCCCCCAGGGGCACCTGGCCTCTCCCACCCCCCACCAGGTGGTCCAGCCTGGAGAGCCACAAGGCGAAGGGGGGAGTGTGCGGGTCTAGTGCGGGCCTCCGGCCCCCCTCCCCTCGCTGCAGCTGAGGCTCCCGCCGGCCACGGCCTTGACCCAGCACTATGGACTTCTCTGACATTGGCATCGGATCTGAACATCTGGCAGCGGGCTGATAAGGGGTGCAGCGGAAACAGCCTCTGCTGCTGCCAGCAGGCCCGCCCCCTCCGCTGCCCGGAACGGGGAGCAGGGTCTCAGCCTCCATCCCCCTCCCAGCTCCCGGGGCCCCTGCCCCTCTCTTCCCATTCTCTGCCTCTTTCTCAAATCTCTGTTTGGCTGAATTTCTCTCTTGTGCCCCCTCCCTGCCCATCTGTGGGTCTGTTTTGCTATCAGTGTGTCCTTCTTCTCTCTTCTTCATTTTCTGTGTCAGTCATGCTAGATACCTTCCCGCTCTGTGGCTGTCTGTCGACCCTGGACCTCTAGCGAAGCCCAGTAACCCTGTTCCTCTCCCCTCAGTTTCAGTTTCTGGAACTCTGATTTGTTTGCCCTGTATCCCACCTCCAGGAAATAAGTCTGGCACTCTGGGGAAGTTCCTGCTCAGGAGCGAGATCCTGGGCTTTGTTTGCCTGGGGTGGGGGCAGCCCAAGTCGGGACTACACCCCTTCTCTTCCCGGTGGGTCTCACGGCCCGGGACCACCTGGGCTGGATCTTGAAGGAAAGGACAAATGGACAGGCCACCCAGGACTCTGGTGGGGTAGCGAGGAGTCTGAGCCTGCAGGCCCAGCCTCTGGGTTCCTGCTGGCTGGATCTGAACACTGAGCCCCTCACCCCTGCTTTGTGACTTTGGGCCCAAGTCCTCCTCTCTCAGATGCTGTTCATGGAGGGGAGGGGAGAATACTCCTCCTACCCCAGGGTGGGGGAGAGGGTTTGAGACTGAGCGCCGGTGCCGGGTGGCTCCTAGGGGACCCAGCACATGTGGGTGATTTAAGTCACGGATAGCCATTCCTATGCTGGCAGTGCCTGGCTCCCCTCCTGCCCCCGACCCCTGGAACACAGGAGGGCCAGTGAGGGTAGGGGAGAGGCAGCTCAGGGGAAGGGGGGTCATGGAGATATCCAGCAGCAATTAGGGCAGAGCACCAGGCCTGCCTGGTGGCAAGCGATAGGGGGCACCTACAGAGGAGGCGGCAGAGCCCCGTGCCCACAGGCGGCACACGGGGCCTCAGTGCAGGGGCAGCAGTCATTCAACAGACACTGGCCCATGCTTGTTCGGCGCTGGCCACCGTGGACCCAGAAAGAAATCAGGCCTTTCCTTGAGGGTTCCCCCTCCACCCCCGAGGTGAGTCACCCGTCACAGAAGGGCAAGCCATGTTCAGCGGGATGTTGCAAACTGAACAGGCCAACCAGCCAGGCCTTCAGCTAGTGGGTATCTGTGTTTTGCTGACATTTACGGGGCACACACAATACACCAGGCAGCCACTTAGTGTGTGACATGTGTGCTTCGTGTTGTCCCCACCATACAGGGAAGACTCAAGGCCCAGAACAGGGATGTGAGTGGTCCCAGGTCACACATCCAGAAGTAACAGAACGGGGATTTGATCTATGGTCTGCCAGTGACTCAACTTTGGAGGTCAAGGACTCACCAGGAGACCAAACCCAGCCTGGTTATTTCTATGGCATTGTGACATTGAAAGAGGACATTTGTCTTGCTTAAGAAGACAGGAAAAATGGACTCTACTTCATAAAGCTCCCATCAAAAGACGAGCAAAGGACCACAGTTTCGTTGCTGCTGTTACAGTATTTAACATACTGGTGATATGGACTATTTGCTGGCATATTCCTTTGCTAAGTGAGTGGTAAAAGTCCTTAATTTAAAAAAAAAATCATTGAATTAAAATGGGGAAAAGTAAAGAAATAAAAATGGGAGACTAATAGAGGCATAATCAAATGAAATAAAAATGAAATGGGGACCTTAGAAGTACATCTTGTATTAGGTGAAAAAGATGTGAAAATGAGACCGTGCATGTTGGGAAATAAATTGTGTTATGTTGTACATAAAATTAGAATATAATCAGAATAAATTATCAGTGGCAGTAAACTGATTTTTTTTTTTTTTTTTTTTTTTTTTGTTTTTGTTTCGGTTTTTCTCCGGTACCAGGAACCGAACTCACGACCTTGCGCTTGCCAGGCAGGCGCTTTTGCCGCTGAGCTAAATCCCCAGTCCCTGTAAACTGATTTTTATAGGTTCATGATTTTAAAAATTAGTAGCATAATGAGGAAAGAAAGACATACTACATTTTTTAAAGGATCTTTCTTAACCTAGTAAAGCATTTTATTCTTTTACCTTGTTAAGATTCCCGTCACTACCTACATATCTACCGCTTTGGTCACCATTCTGTATTTTTGTTGTTGTTTTTGATGCTGGGAATCAAACTCAGGACCCTGCACTTGCAAGGCAGGCACTTGTGCCACTGAGCTATATCCCCAGCCTATACATTTCAAATGTAGTTGGTTTATTAAAAAAAAACCCAAACCCTTCTCATCCCAAGTGAAACATTTTGCATGATTTTCCCATTTTCCTTGGGTGAAGGAGGGGGTGTGAGCATGGGTACAGCAGGGGGTTCTCAGCAGTGACTGCCCCTTGGTGTCCCTGTGCCCCTCCCCTCCTCAGGATGAATGGCTGTGAGGTAAGTCCTCTGAGCACAGACTTCCTCCCTGTCTTTTGCTGTTCAGTCTCCTGGGCTGGAACAGTGCCTGGCGCCTGGAGCACCTAGAAGCCAGTATGAGATGAAAAGGAATGTGCAGGAGAGAGCGTCACGCGTGGAACAGGTACAGGACCCAGAAGTCCAGGCCGGACAGGACCCGGTGACTGGACAAACAGCAAAGACTGTATCTGACCACCTGGCTCCACAGGCATGCTCAGCCCAGCCTCAGTTCCCCACTAGGCCTGGGAATATCCACAGCTCGGTAGATGGTGACATTCAGAGAAGCCAGTGTCGACTGCATGCATGAGGTATTCATCAGCTCACCTCTGCCCGCCTCTTCCTTTCTTCGTCTTTGGGAAGAGTAAAGGACCAGGCCAAAGCTGCCTGTCCACCTGGTCCATCTTGTCGGCCCACCTGGCCAGGTTATCCAGGCCCCTGCCTCCACACTGCCCACCCCGATTCCACTCCCGTGTCTGGGCTGAGCTGGACCATGCCAGGCCAGGTCCCAGGGAGAAAGCTATTCAAGGGGGGAGAGAGCAGGCTACAGGCCGGGTCGGGGAGCAGCCCATAAATCAGGTCCCACTCCCACCCAGTCACTAACAAGCGGGCTGCTACTCGCCTCCGTGGGGTCCCTGCCTCTGGGCTCCACAGCGGCCGGGAGCAGCCAGCTGGCCAAGGCCTCCAGAGTGCCTTGGCCTCTGCCCCCACCCGAGGCCCCCAGATAGATAGGGGTAGTTCTTTTTTTTTCCTTTTAGGAGAAGAGAAAAAAAATAGACCTAAATGAAGAGAAACACCAACAAAGGAGGAGAGAGGCCTGCGGAGTCACGTGGGGGCAGAGACCAATTGGGCCTCTGGTAACCCCCCCCCCCCGCCCCCGGCAGGGAGGAGGAGGAGGACGGACGGACAGGGCCAGTTTGCTGTCCGCCCGCCGCCCACTGTGCTGGGAAGGAGTTCCTGCACGCTCACGGCCACCATTGCCCCACCTGGGCGGCCGGAGCCCCCCCACCCAGCCCGTGCCCGCCGTGCACCCTCATCCGGTGTGAGAGCTCTCCTTCCGCTCTGTAAGTGAAGGCCTGGGCCCAGGCCTCTAATGCCCAGCCTCCCCCTCAGTGCCTCCCTCTGGCCAGGGCCGGCCACTGCCTGCCCTGCGGCGTGACCAGTGCCCACCGCTCTGGGCAGGGAAGTGGCCAGGGGTCTCTCCAGACCTGCTCTCCCAGCATGGTATCCCCTCTTCCTCCTCCGGCTGCTGATGGGAGGAGCTAGGCCTATGGCGACAGACCCTGTGGGGTCAGTCCATGTATCCTGCTATCTAGCGGTGCCTGGGTGTTTGCCTGGGGGTGTTGGCTGGAGTCTGGTGGGCTGTGCATGTTTGCGGGTCCCTCTCTTGGAGGCTTAGGAGTCTTTCTGCCCTGTGTGTGCCGTTTCTCTGGAGATTTCCGAGTCTGCATGTATGGGTGAGTGTGTCGTCAGTGTCTATCTGTCAGGCGGGGTTGGCGACCAGGCCAAGGTCTATGTTTATGGCCCTGGGCAGGTGAGTGAGCAGCTGAGTCCCGACGTGGGGTTGAAGGGGTACTATGGAGCCACGGGCCTCCAGTCTCGGACACAGAGCCCTGAGAGAAAGGACAGAGCTGGCTCAGAGCCCAGCTCCTAAGCATCTGGGCCCCTAGGTCAGACTTGTGTCTGTGCTGCTGGGACCCCAGGTGGACCCTACCCCGGAGAAGCCCCATATCCTCTTTCACTCCCTAGCGGCAGTGGGGGTGCGGTTCTGGGTGTTCCTTCCTGAGGGCTCCTCTCTGATAGAGTGGTTCCGAGGCAGAAGTTGCCCCCATCTCCAGCTCTGACACATGCCTGCGGTCCTTTCTCAAGGGCCTGGATGGGGAGCCTGCCACTAACCCCTCTTTGGCTGCCTCTCCTCCCGAGTCACCAAGATTGTCCATGGAATCTCAGGGACCCCATCTGCAGGGCTGGATTTCCATTTCACACATAGAGAAACAAGCTCAGAGCAGCAAGTGATTTGCTAGAACTTGCACAGCAAAGTGTCTGCAGAGTTTGCTCCTATGCTGCGGTGAGCTGTGGGGTAACCTGCGTGGGTTCTGTGGGCACAGGCAGGACCAAGGCACCAGCTCCTCCCACAAAAACCCCAGGCATTCTCTAAAGGCCACCCGAGGACCAAACTTTCTGGCCCCACTGTCCTGAGCTCTCTTTCTGACCCCAGATGCCCAGGGCCCAAAGCAGGATAGGAGTAGGTCCCCTCCTCTCTCTGGCCTCCCTTCCTCTTTCTTCACCTGAAGAACAGGAGCAGTGGGGCAGCGTGTGCTTCCCACCCCAGGACAATTGCATTGCCCATCCCAGCCAAGGGCTCCCTTTGGCCTCCGTGCTGGCCCAGCTCCCTTCCTCCGCCCCTACCCAGGTGAGGGCTTGCAGGGCTGCAGGTACAACCTCCCGCTCTGCTCTCCCAGCTCTCTGGACACCACAGCCCAGAATCCTGCAGAGTAGGATTTTCACAGTTCCCATGCAAGCCTGGCTCAGGGAGAGGGGTTTGAGGCTGTCTCCCGCCAGGCATGAGCTTTGCCACCAACCCTTCAGCTCATCTGCAGCCACCCTCAAAGAAGAGTGCCCATCATCCCACTTCACAGATGTAGAAACTGAGGACTAGAGGGGGACAGATTTGCCTCCAACCCAAGTTAGAAAATGTGGCAAAGTGAGAACCTGGTTGCCAGCCTTGAACTCTTGCCTCTGCCCCCCCACGGCCCCCTTGCTTGCCCTTACCCACTTCCACACTGCAAAACGGCGAGCGTCCCCAGCTTGGCCCTGGCCACGACCAAGCTGGACCTGCACACAGGAGCTAGCCTCCTCCCGGCGCAGGGGCAGCTGCCGGCCAAAGCTCCCCTGCGCCCGCCCGCCGGACACCTGCCCAGATTCGGGGCGCTCGCGGGCTCGGGCGCGCCAGGCATGGGGGCCGATGGGTGAGGGTGCAGCCGTGCGCAGGC